TTCCCTAGGCACCATTATAAATAGAGAGTCCAACAACCATCGTAAGGGCACGAATTTTCTGACAAGCACTGACTATACTTTGTTCTAAGCTCAATAATATTTTATCTTCTTGCTTATTAATAGTGTGACTACTGCCTCCGAAAGCCCTGCTCCCGGAACTAGGATTTCTATTGTTTTATATCGTTTTCAACGCTACGTCTTATATTCTTGTTCAATTTATTCATCATTCTAGGGTCAAATTGATTCACTTGTCTATAAATTACGTATAAATTCAACTGTACCGTTTTACGGGTAAACAATATTCTATAATTATAGAATCTCACTTTAACCTCATTTTCTTTATTCTTTTATCTTATATTGTCACTTCAAATACTTAAAATTCCCAATAAAAGTTGGCAAAATCTCTAGAACTCTTGTTGCAACTGAATTTTAGGAAAGTTTTAATTGAACTATCGTGAAATAGTTAAAACGAGGTGAGTTGGATAAGGACAAGGTACTTCTCGTGCTTATGATGGATTTGGGATATTATAATTATAGATCAAAGTAAATCACTTTTCTTAACTCTACGCAAAGCTAGAAATTAGGTTAAAACAAAAGCTATATTTAAGTCTTCTGAGAGATTAAGGGTCTAACTAAATGACTCTTAGTCCGTCTTAGCTAGAATGAAATAAAACCAGAGGAAAATTTGATCTTCACCAGAACCAAAAAAAAACATTTTTTTACATAGAGTGTAGGCACATATATATGTCCCTTTTTGTTCGGGTGATATATGTCTCTTATTAATTTCTTTTTGGTCTCTGTTTCTTAATTCGGATACTAAGGTTTTTTCTTGTTAATTAAGAGTGTAAAAATACAAACTGCTTTGATGTGAATTGTCATGTACGGTCATAAATTTATATTTCACCTTTAATGACATACTTTTACAAACTATTAAAATATAATGTCATGCTCGTACAAACCATTAAAATCCTTGTGTTTATTTTTTTCTTGTAATTGTGTACTAGTTAACTCACGATCTTCCGCAACAATTAGGTTATTCAAAAGATATTTACATATATAGATCTCCTTAAATGAAAATAAATTTGTAATTTTGAAAATAAGACAGAGTATTTATCTGCTACAACAGAAGGTAAAAATGACTTGATGGTGTAAAAGTTTTGATAGTGTATGTAACATTAACGTAAACTCTAAAACGGAATAGAAGAAGTGCATTTTAAACTGTATGACCCAATCGGACAAAAGCATCCAAAGCGTTTACGTCAAAGCAGCTAAGCAATTGAGCATTAATTTTATATCATCGTTAGAAAGCAAATTTAATAGGTCGAAATCTTGAAATTGATAACACTAGGAATATGACTGATCAGACTAATTCCTAACCTTTTCTCAAGTAGGCAAAAGATATCCTTGTCTTAATTGTTTCAAGCTGCGATGGCATGCGTGTGTATATGAAGATGTTCATTTTCAATGGTACCACAAGCAGCAGCCAAAGCCTAGCTAGGACCATAGGGTAAGCGATGATACCAGTTACGTTGTCGGCCTGTTTGGCAAGTGGCTTATGGCTTCAGATTTTGATATTTTTGGGATACAAGAGTTGAATCGCTCTTGAAGCGACTGTTGGTTGTCAATTCTTGTGTCTAACGTCAACCATCCTAGCTACATTAGTCTAAGATTTAAAGAAAACATAAGAGTATCGTGGGCCAAAAAGAAGAAGATATTGAATATCTAAGTAGAATTTTCGTCTAGACGTTTCAAACTTGAAAATTACGGTCAAAATCGAGTTTGCCCTTCGTGTGACTAATCAAGATTAAAGCATGATGGACCGAGGTTCGTCATTATAATATCGAGCTGAGATATGAAGTTGGAAGGTCTAGCTCGAGAGCCAGAGACCGATCAATACCTAGATCGAGTCAAGGTCGAGCTCGAAACCCAGAGACCGATCAATACCGAGATCGAGTCAAGATCGAGCTCGAGACCCAGAGACCGATCGATATCGAGACCGGCCAAGATCGAGACCGAGCCAAGAAACAAAAAAGCCGTTATAACCACATTTGGGAAGAGAATCTCGGCAGAAAACATGGCTTGAATCAAGAAAAAGCTTGTTAATTTATCTATCATGTGATCCCCATTATATATTTTTAATTATATCCAAAGTATGATTCCCCCACTATATTAAGAGTGGTTATCATCTGTACAAAGGGAGGATTCATTCATTCACACATTCAGATTTTATTGAGATTTACATAGCATCTAGCAACTATTATCCCTTTTGGGCTTTGATATTGATTCTTCCTGGTCTCTTATCAGTCACTCTCTATTCAATTTGGGTTTGTATTCATCCTTTTTACAGTTAATATTCGATATATTTTTTTTATTTTTTCAATTTATACCAAGTTATACCATGTATCCTTAGAACTACGTATAAATTCAACTCTATCCGTTTTTCGGGTAGATAGTTTGTTAGTTGAGGACACTGGTGGGAAGAGTTGATGTAGAGAGTAAAGCTTGCACTGTTAGGCCAGACTAGTTCAGAAAAAAGTCTCATGATAATTGCTCATACGACATGGAATTATGTTATTTATATGTACGAGACGAGACATTATTGGTTAAGAAATAGGAATGGTCCACGACTCCACTTACTTGTCTTTGAGCTTGTTTACCCTTAAAAATGGATAACAATTAAATTTGTACGCTATTTTAAGGATACATGGTTTAATTCAATGCGAATGATTAATGACGTGAGATAAGCAATTAAAGGATAGAGTAAATAACCAAACCAATGATGATACTGAATCCGGGCTCGGTTCAAGGCTTAACAAGAAGCTCTCCTTTGGTTCTCGGCCGGTGCTTATGAAGAACTTATGAACCAGAAACAAGAACTTTCAATAACCTTCAGAAACAGAGAAAAATAGACGTATATTGCCTATGTATGCGCGTTACAATGTGTTTAATGAATAATCAGCTTCCCCTTTATATAGTAGGGGAGTTTTACCCTAAGTACAATTCTAAAAAAGGTAAAAATCTTTCTTTTCGCTAATCACTGATCTAGCGCTGATACGGGCCGAGATTCACGCTGTGATATCCGATTGGGCACGGATATCTCGGCCCTTTGTTAATCGTGTGCGACCGTTTGGCAATGCTTTCTGAGGTCTCGTTATTCGAATCAGGTCTGGGGCATGATCTCGATGGCTCCGGGGCAGGTATTTTTTTCGAGCTTCAATACGGGCGGCTCCCGGCTTCGATCTCGAATTCACGGAGTTATGTTCTTCCTTCGTTCACTCCACCGAAAAATCGGGTTGCTCATTACCTCGGTTTTACCCGTATACAGAACTTTTTCTCAATGTGGTGACTATGGTCCCTACTGGTTAAGTACTTAATTTTACTTTTGCCCTAGATATCTAATGTCAGAAAGTCCTCTAAAATATAAGGAGATATTAATGAAACTTTGTAAGTCATCAAAAGCGGTATCCTTATGCCCGTGCTTTTATATTTTATCTCATCTAATGTTTAAGAATAGAAGAAAATATGAAGTGACTGCAGTATACTTGTGCACTTAAGAATCCCAAAGGGTCAAAGCTCTTCGGGAAGCAAATACTAAAAACTATTTATACTTTTACTCTCTAACAAAAGATAAGATTTCTTCTGCCAATAAATTCACCGTATTACCAAGTTCAAGTTCAATATAACATACTGACAAATTCTCAGATGGCATTTATATCAGGTATTAAGCCCTATTCTAGATGAATCGACCACCTCCTACTTTTTCTAACTCTTCTTTTCGTTCTTTCTTTTCCCACTTCACTAATTTTCCCTCTAAGGCGGACCAAGCAACGACTGGCACGGGAGGAAGAAACCTCAGAAAAGACACTCTGATTCTTAGGTCCTTTTCAAGCTAGGAATTTAAGAAGTGAGAAGAGGGTAGATTATACGTTACACAAGTTAACGTCAATAAAGTGATACCGGCAATGGAAAAGGACATCACAGAATTCCATTGTCTTTGCCAGCTGAGTGGCGTTTCCCATTTTCTTGTTTCCACACTGCAAACCTATCAGTTAGTTCAACCAACTTCCGAAAATTTTCTTGCCGCAATCTTTGTGGAGTCTCCTTTCGTTGTTGTTACTTCTTAATCGAATATTATAAAGTTCGGCCCATGTTTGACATATATGTTTTGTTAAAGTGAATGTACTTTTTCAAAGGAAAACAATTGGCATGTTTAGCACAAATTCTCCACCATCAAAACGAACTTAATCAGACAGTACTAGATCTTGGGAGTTTGGCTATGACTTCACTAGCAAAATTAAAGTCATTATTTGCACGTTTGTAGTTTGGTCATCACTTTTTGAGCAAATATAGAACTTTAATATTAATTTTTAATAATTGTATAATACTGAAAAATCTTATTTAAGAAGTATTTCAAGTTAAGTAACACTTTTTTTCAAAAATGCATTTGTCCATGAAATTTTGTAAGTTTTTAAAATTTTGAAAATGAGTTTTTCAAAAATCAAAAAGTAGTTTTGATCACTTTTTTAAAATTTTCAATAAAAAATTTCCACTCACAAAACAACAATATTTTTTCAAGTGAAATGCATATCCAAATTTCAACTTAACTCCATATGCTATTTTTTTTCAAAAATTATAATTTTTATGTCCAAACACCTACTTAGAATGAAAATTTTGAAAAATAACTAATTCAACTTCATGTTCGATTTGAAATTTTCAGGGTCAAATACTGATTTCGGAAAAAGTGAAAAAAAAAAAAATTAAAAAAAAGTGAATTTGTTTATGGTTCACTTTTTTTTTTTTTNTAAGCTGTTCATAAGATTTCATAAAAAGATTCGAATTTGCTTTTTCTTATGAGAAAAGATTGCTTAAAAAATAATTTATAAAGGATATGGTCCCAGCACTTCCTCCGTACATTGGCCGGGACAGCAGACGTACCTTTACACGTACACATCTTTAGGCTTTCTCAGTTTATAAATACTAGCGCTCTCTGTGCTTACTCTGCCCTCACAGCACAACCAAATCCACCTTCAATTTTCCTATTTCTATTTCTTTTCAAACCACTACTTATATTGTAAATTGTAAATTGTAAATTTAGCAGCTCCAGCTTTTAATTAAACTGAAGTAATTTTTGCCATTGAATGTTAGAAAGAGAGACTTCGAATTGTTGTTACAGAAAGTATGACAGAGAATCAATATTATTCACCTTCCCATTCGGACCCATCTCGACCTTCATTAGGCTTCCCTCTGGGCACTGCCCTCCTCTTGCTAATCATCTTCAGCTTGAGTGGCATCTTTTCTTGTTGCTACCATTGGGACAAACTCCGTTCTCTCCGTCGATCCTTCTCCGATCCCGAAGCCGGCGATGACCCTTCTTCTTTGAAATCTGAACGTGCCCACACGGTAAGATTTCATCAATTCTCTCGTCAAACGATACAAAATCAAACGACTAATAACGCTAATTTTCAATTTTGTTGGGTTGGTTATATAAATTATTCGTATCCGTTTCATTTTATTGGAATTCATGTCTAATAATCTATTACAATCCTCTTTCTTTCTCTGGCTTGGGACCGGCTACATATAATAAACTCCAAATTACTTCCTCCATTGGTATTTTATGGACTGAAGTTTAAGCAAATTAAAAAAGAAAAACTTCTGTTACATATTAAAGTATCTTTAAAACTCGGGATGACATTTCTGTTTATAATTTAAGAGTTTCAAATATCTCTAAAGTCAAATTGAGCTAGTTGTACATATTGCTGACCAGGTTGAATATTTTGGAATAAACTAAAAAAAGAAAGAGATTGCTGAATTATTTTTTTGCTCTGTTTTACAGAATTGGAAGCAAAACCAAATATCAAATATGTCGGCAGTGTTGATGCCTGGAGATCAAGTACCAAAGTTCATAGCATTGCCATGTCCATGTCAGCCTCTCCGACCAGGAAAGGTAGTTGTAGAGATGCAGCAGCCACCGCCGCCGCCGCCTTCTCCTCCGAAGCCACCTCATATGGGAGTGGCAGTACCTTTCTATTAGCAAAGCTACCGCGGAAATTTTTAGAACTGGACTAGTAATTGGTTATGTGTTTAGTGGATATAGAATTGTAGTTCAATCAAATTCGTAATGTTTTTAACTTGTAAATATTAATGAAATTTGAGCAATTTTCTAATACGTTTTTTTATTATAATCTTCGCAGTTGCATTGTAGTGTTTGGTATCATGGTGGTCGTATCTAAAATCTTTTACGCTGATGTTTAGTTAAAGGGTTTAAGTTATATACATATATTATAGGTGTAGGGAATTTCTGTTTTAGAGAATAATTTATTCAAATTTTAAGGTTACACATATTGCAAGGAGCTTAACTATAACTATATTCTTTATAAAAAGGAGAAATGGAAAACATAGGGAACAAGGATGAAATACTCAAAAGCAAAACAAATAAAACCAGGAAATGTGCTGGTAGTCAGGAATATCAACTCTTACATTGTCTAAACAAAACCAAAACGACCGGAAAAAAATATGCAACTGAGATAACTGAATTCGTGGCTGTAATACAAATATACAATAGATGGGGATTTGGTACTTAATAATGGATTTAAGTAATTTATATTGATAGTGTATAAATTATTTACATCATTAAAATAATACTTCGTATGATATATAATAAGTAATTTTTCATAGCAACTGTAGTTTTCTTAAAACGATATATATATATATATAAAACTTAATTCGCTTGACTTAATAAAAGTTTAACTTACCTAAACGGATATTGTATATTTCTTTACATTATTGATGTAGTTTAATTGATTGCTTTAAAATATTCAACTTAATTACAGTGTATTTTATTTTTACTTGTATTTATCTTTAAAACGATATGATAGTACAAACAAATTTGTATTATCAATATATAGATTTTAAACGCATGAAAATAGAAATTTTTTCTTGTTCTTGTCATGGTCTGTGTCACGTTAATTCCCATATACTTAATACTACAACCATCGAAGAGTGAAAACGACAAATACCAAAGTTTGAGCTAAGGTAGAAATTAAATCTCCAACCCCTTTCTATTTTTACCAGTTCAAGTGTTCCTCTTCCAGCAGTTTCATTGTGTCTCTATCATCCAATTTAAGCGAGGGTCTAATCGATGGTCATAATAAAAATCAATTCTTACAAATTAAAACCAAAACTCTTACATGGGACAAGTGTACAAAGCACGTCCTATTTGATTAATAGACTAGCACATACAAAACACAAATGACACTTGATATTACAAAGTGCAGTAAATCATTCAAATTTCAAATCGAAGGCAAGATAAAGCCATGGACTAGGCTGAGCCCATTTGGATTGACTTAAAAAATGGTTTTTCATCATAAATAATTTTTAAGCAAAAAAAATAATAAATTAGGTTGGCCAACTTATTGCTTTTGGCTTTGTTTTAAACTAGTTTTTTAATTTATTTTAAATACTTTTTGATTTTGCCAAACACTAATAAAAACAAAAAGCTAAAAAGAGCCTAAAAACTTATTTGACCAGTTTAAAAGTCAATCCAAACAACCTCTAAATCCATTGAAAACGGTATCAACCTCTATTATTACGTATTCAATAATAGAATATAATTTTTTGATAATTAGAAAAAGGGGGTTGGCGTTTATTGATAGAGAATGTCTATCAATCAAGCCAATAGTTATTGATTCTAGCTTATCCCATACAAGTAATTTAATTTAGATCCTAAGGTTATATAATCAGTTAACATAAGTCCAAATTTCAAGAAAATAATCACTTTATTTTTTAGAAAACAATCAGTTGAGTACCAAGCTTTCAAGTAGGATCAATGGACTGCGTGACGATTAACGCAGATATAGTAAACCGCACAAAAGAAGACAAATGGGTGAAAAGGGAAAAGGAGCAAAAGTAGAAACAAAGGGAGATTAAAAAAAAAAAGACAGATGGAGTGTGTTTTGGCCACTTTTTTCAAACCTGACCTAATTTCGCTATAGAATGAAAATGCTCCCTTTATTCAAGTTCCACCCAACATCACCTTCCCCCACCACTTAGCCATGTTATTGTACTGGTCCGTCATTCGTAATGATTTGCTGCTTGTTTTTCTTGTCTTTTCTTTCACTACACCGTCGTTTTTTTCAATCTTTCACCATCAGAACCGAACTAGCTGACCCTTGCTTTCATTCTCTTATTTGACTCTTTTGTTGATTCACATATATAATGTTTTACGTCGGTTGAAGGAAATAAATAGTTGTACTCTCTATATAAATTTCGGCACCTCATTAGTTTGTCTATAAGATTCAATTAAACTTAATATTCATTTTCTTAACATGGTTATAAATTAGTTTTAAATACATTCTTATTCTTGATTTAATCAACATTAAAGTCCTATGTTATATTTTTCATGATCTAACTGTTCAGTCCTAGATGTGCAGGGAAGTGTTACGACAATCCTCATATTTAGGATTTATAGTTGAGTTAGATCTAATAATTTCTTGACATTTCTTTTAAATTAGATTCAATATTCATTTTCTTGACATTTCATTTCTCTTTTCTCCCAATATTCGTGTTTGGAGAATGAAAAAACGAAATGTCAACAAAGTCTAGTTGCACTGGAGGAAAAAAAGTCTAGTGGCTAAGTGCTTTAAAACTTTGCTCAAATATATTATATGCAATAGCTGCAGTTTCCTTTTTCCGTTGAGAGATTCAGTTGCACTACTAGAAAACTGGCATATTTCGTCCAAGACATACCGATCGAAATCGGTCAGACCAAAATCGATCGAAAACAAAACCGACCAAAATCGGTCGAAAACAAAACCGACCGAAATCGGTCGGAAGTTGCTAAATTGGTCGCAAAAGTCAACACAAATATTTCTGACAAAAAAAAAAATCCGACCATTCGAAAATTGGTCAATATTTGACCAAAAATAATTTTTTATTAAATTTTTTCCAAATTTCCGACCGATTTCGGTCGGAAATTGGTCAATATTTGACCAACACCTAGTCATACTTGTATATAATGTTCAAAAATAATTTTTTATTAAACTTTTTTCAAATTTCCGACCGAATTCGGTCGGAAATTTTGAAATTATTATTTTTCGCCCAAGGCAATTGGTTTTTAATATAACAAAAATTATATATATTTAATTAACGAACCGGAATAAGTTATAATTAAATATTTCCGATCGACTTCAGTCGGAAAAACGATTTTAAAATAATTAAAATATAAATTTAATAATATTTTCGATTTTTGTCACCCTTTATATAAATAGCTTTTAAATATATATATATATATCTTCGATATATATATATATATANATAATTTAAAAACAAAAATATTTAATTAAATTCTGACCGAATTTGGTCGGAAATCTTGAGGTCAAACGGTTAAATTTTTTTATTATTACCGACTGAAATTTCCGACCGAATTCGGTCAGAAGTTTCTTTAATTTGATCTATACCAGACGGGTCTCTTCCCCATTTTCATCTTTTCCCTCTATCTCTTCTTTCTCTCTTACATCTCTCTTCTACCCAAATCCCACCCAAATTCCACACCTATTTACCCAAAATCCCATCTAAAATCAAGTCCCCCACCCCGAAAATCGAAACCCCACCTCCCCCAGCCCCAATATCGTTGTCACCTGTTGCCGTCGCCTGTCGCCGCCTCCACCATTGTCACTACCATTCTCTTTCAAGGTTAGTGTTCTACCTTATTACTCTTTTAATTTTTAATTTAATTCATGCCTAATTAATATCATTTTATGTAATTTTTTGAACTATATTATAATTAAAGTGTACCTTATCAAAAAATTATAATTATTAGATTTTTAATTTTTAATTTTCGGAATTTAATTTTATGTAATTATTTAGAGTTTTTGTATATTTAGGATTTGAACTACATTAGATTTACATTTAGAATTGAACTACCTAAAATTATAATTTTGTAGGATTTTTGGTTTGAACTACATTAGATTTAGAATTAAGGTATAAATTATGAATTTAATGTATAAATTATGAACTGCTTTAAATTATGAACTTATGGTTCTTAATAGAATTTAAATTAATGATAGAACTACCTTAAATTATGAACTTTGAGTTAGTATAATTGAATTAGTCTAATTTAGGGGATAATATTATTCTATTAGTGTGCTAACAAATTATAATTAATTAATTATGCTAATTATACCTAACTAATTATGCTTAATTAATTATGCTAATTATGCTTAACTAATTATGCTTAATTATACTTAACTAATAATTAGTTAATTAGGGCTTAACTAATTATGCTAGATTAATTGAGTGTCCTAACAAATCATAATTTATTATGCAACTTAATTTTATAATTTAATTTAAATTATGATTAATATAACATGTAATTTATTTGTTCTTTATGTAGATGAAATATCGTAGTTGGATGTATAATAGGAATTATCCAAATCGTCGGTTTTTGAGAGAGGAATTTATATAAGGGGTTAAGGAATTTATTACGCATGCAATATCACTTGAACAGTTTAGGATTGGAGGGTTGATTAGGTGTCCTCGTGTGAAGTGCAAGTGTTTGCATTTTTTTGGATCGGAGGATGTTAAGACTCATCTTTATAAAAAAGGGTTTATGAATAATTATTTTGTGTGGACTAGTCATGGAGAGATTGATGATAGTGATGGTGTATTTCATAATGTAGTTGTTGGTGAAAGTAGTAGGTCGGTGGGGAATAACATTCAACATCCTAGATACCATGAAATGGTTGCGGATGCTTTTGGGATGCATTTCGATTTTGAAACCCATGAAAGTGTTGAACAACCTCCTAACGAAGAGGCAAAATATTTTTATGAACAGTTAGAGGCCGCTAGTTGTCCACTAAGGGAAGGGAGTATGCACTCTTAGTTATCTGTTGCAGTTAGATTATTAAGTATCAAATCAGATACCAATAATTCTCAAGCCGGAATGGATTCTTTCATTAGCCTTATGAGTGAACTAGTTGACCCAACTTTCAACATACCTAAAATTTCTATAAGGCTAAAAGTTTAGTTTCTAAGTTAGGACTCTCGTTTATGAGAATCGATTGTGAAGATGGTTGCATGTTGTATTATAAGGGTGATGCATATTTAGAAAGTTATAAATTTTGTGAAAAACCTTGTTTTAAGCAACTTTCCAGCGGGAAGAAGGCTGATGTGAAGTCGATGC